CCCTGGACAAGCCACTGCTCCATCCCACACCCTTTCCCAGCTGGGCAGCGCCTGCCCCAGCCCCTGTCCCAACCCCACTGTCTCCCTCACCGCAGGTGCCTCCATCTGCCCTCCCCCCATGCCTCTTCTCTTCCCCCTCCCCTTCCACTACAACAGACTTATCAGCTGGACACTGCTCTTCAAACTGCCGGGCTGCATGTCAGAAATTTGATTGGTATAGGCCAATATGCCTCCTTAAAAAAAGACTATTAGTATCAGCCCAAAAACTCTCTATTGGTGCACCTCTAGGATACAGGGATAAAAGATGTTTCATGACCCTTGAAAACCTGCCAATCTATAGACAATAATTTCACAACTTGGCACTGATCCCTTTCAGCCAAGGGAAGAAGAGAAGCAGCAACCCCTTACACAGTCTCTTCACATCCCAGACTGGGGTTTCTGTGTTCTGTGAGCAAGTGTAGTAATGGAGTACCTTTTGTACAGGAATTTTGAGATCTTCTGTGACATGTATACTCCAGGGAGGTTACAGCCTTATAGGTATAGTGGAAGTCTAAAGCTCCAGGGGCACTACTGTTGGAGTTATCCCCCCATACCTTATGAGCATGGGTGTATGTATGTAGATACCTGAATAGTTGCAGCTCTGTATTTCTGTAATACATGTAGAGAAATACACAAAAACACTGCAGAATCTGAAACAGGGTCAAGTTTTAAAAGTATTATTGACTAAAAAGTCTAATTCCCATGTCCCAAAGTGCCTAAATCAATTTTTTTTCAAAGGGATTAAGACCCCTAAGTGACTTAAGGAGACGATACTCAGGGCCCAAGGGGTGACCATCCCAACAAAAAGCAAGGGGGGCAGGAGTGCCCAAAAGCCCCCCTGGCTCACCAAGGGCATTCGGGAATGCCTGATTGCCAAAAAGGCGGCGTACACCCGGTGGAAGGGGAGTGCTATGTCCAAAGAGGAGTATACCTCCTCTGCTCGGGCCTGTAGGGGGGCTGTCAGGAAAGCTAAGGC